TCAATATCTCTCTATATTAATGATGTAGATAACATCATTCCATTCTTAATGGGAATGACATGTATTCGTAATGTTTTAATTAAAGAATTTGTAACTTTAATTAAATTCATTACGAACATTGTTTCGATTATTATCCTTAAATATTATCCTATCGTATATAACACTCTTATACCATATTTAAGATCAAATAAATAATCGTTGAATTTTCAATAATATTCATTAACTATTCAATAATACATACACATAAATAATAAATAAACTATTTTACTAATTAAATAATAAATATCCTTATTACATATGCTTTAAAGGACATTATTCTTTAACATTTTGATATATCAATTCATACATATCATATATTCTTGTAAGGGGACAAGGAGTTGCTTAAGATGTAAATAAAAGATGCAAAAGTAGGAATGGAAACTGCTCATTATTTTAAGCTAAAGTTGGGTTTAAACATATCCTCAACTTGCTTATAAAAAAAAAAATCCTCAACTTCCTATAAAAAAAAAAAAAACTTTAACTTTCTTGTCATTGTTCCTATTGAGAGAGGTAAAGTAGTCCACATCTGACGTATGATGCATCTTTCAGGGCTATATAAATTTTACAATTTACTCCTATAACTATCTCTATATAGTACTTTGCTTTGGTTTTATTTTATCCCTAGATTGATTCGCTTTTTTACTTTCTCTTATATTTTAACTAAAGTTCTATATTTTATGTTTATATAACTAGTTGATCTCTATAAACCCTTATTTTTTATTCCTAGGACCTCCTAATTATTGTCAGAGTAGCTTTCTTATACCAATAATCATGACAATGCATTATCAAAATGAGATATATATTGGAGCTCAGAAGCCCCTTTTTATTTTTATTTTTTTTTTACTAATCAGCCTCTTTTTTTTATTATTTAATTTGAATTACATGGTTCTAAGAAATTTTGTGTAAAACGTAAAAAAAAAAAAAAAAAAAAAACTCAACATTATATTTTCTAAAAGTCAGTATCACTCACATGACATTATAAGATTAATTGATTTTACGTTTGCTGATGATCGATTAAAACATCATTATTGAACTTGTTTTGCATATACATACAAAGAAACAAATGGCATCTAATGTTAAATACATAGTTGAAACAAAATTAGAATAAAATTCTGTTTATCAATGAAGAGAGAACTTAGTTGTTGTTCCTTATAATACGTTGATGTATTATAGTCACACTTAAAAGAGATAATAAAATAAATTAAAAATGCCGCGTAATAATTTGCTTTTTACTTAATAAGAGAATGTTAAACACATTCGCAAAGAAAAGAGCTTTCATATTTAGTACTTGATATTCATGTATAATTAACTCACGTAAATTCTATTCTACTATAAAGTATTAAAAAACTTTTATGTTTAGACGGTTAGTTAGTTTTGTATTAAATTCTTTTATATTCACATTTTTAATATGATTTTGTTGAAAAACGTATAAAAATAATCTGAGTAATTGGGTTAAATTTTTCTCCTTTTTTCTTAAAAAATTTCCTTTTACAGTAAGACCTTATACAAATGGTATAAATTTTTTATCGTTGGATCCACAATTAAGGAGACGTTTAGTTAGAAGATTTAAATCATAATTTCATGATTCGTTATAATATTTTTTTTTATAAAAAATACACATAAATTAAAAATAATTTTAATTATATAATTTTAATTTATGAACCAAACGTCAAAATCACGTTAGGATTAAAATTGAAAAGTATATTTTCTAAACTAAAAAAAAAAAAAAAATCTTGACTATTCCTTGCACTTATCTGATGATGATGGTGTAGGGTAAAAACACGTGGAGGGGGGACCCACAAAGAAAACTAACCACGTGGAACGTCTGTACAGATCTCATGCTGACGTGTGTAAACGAGGACCACCGAAACCTTCCCCTTCCCACGTTGTCTGATCTGACAAACAAAATGTTAAAACCACCAGTACCGGACGATTCCCACGTGTTCACGTGGACCCCACCCTCCTCATTTGAGTGGCACTTGCCCGTAATTTTCACCCTCTATCCAGGTCAAACTTCAATCATTATAAGCTCAAACAAATTAAATAATTAAAAGATAATTAAAATTTCCCAAAAATTCTGCCGGGTTAACTCGAGCCAACCCTGTTGCCTGCTTCGAAGCAGACAACGAAAGGGACGGCAACTAACGTCGACTAACGGTGACGGCTTCCTCAGCCAACGTCCATCTCCGTTACCCCCGTGGCACGCAAACCTAGGCCTAGACTCAGTTAGGACCTGGCTGCCGTTACTCACCTAACGCTGTTTGCACAGCCTTAGATGACGTTTGGTTCATGTATTTAAAATCATGATTTAAAATTATTATTATTTTATGTGTATTTTTTGTGAGAAAAAATACTGTAAAGAATCATGAATCATGATTCATATTCGAAAATGAATACAAGAAACAAACGTCCCCTATATTAGTTTTGATTTTCATTTGAGTTAATTACATAATTATAATTTATACCATCTAGTTTTGAGTTTTCTCAATTTATCACCTTACTTTTTAAAAACTACAAACGTACTCTTTAAGTTTGAAAAACTCATTGCAAATTATTTCCCACATACTTTACAAATAGAACAAACTGAATGAAAGAACGAAATTATCCTTAAATATATCTTGAAAAAGATTTAAGACATTAAAAAAAATAAAATGAAACAAATGAAACCTAACATTTTTAAAAAAAATATGGAATTTCATGTTTTTTGCGTGTTTATAAGTTTTTCATAAAATTTCTTTAGAAAAAAATGTTTTTAGAATAATAAAGGTTTTTTTTATCTTTCCTCTTATTTTTATTTTGGTCCTTAAAAAGCATTAGAGATGAAATGAAAACAAGCTTATAAGACTAAAATAATATTTTTGTAATTTAAAATAATAATATATTGAAAAATAGTCCTTGTCATTAAATTAATACAATTAAGTATTTTTTATCCAGATATGTTAATTTTTTAACAAAATTATGAAAGGTATGTGATCTTACAAAAGAAGGTATTTTGATAAAATATCAAGAAAATGGTTTTTTGCCTTGCATATGGTACTATCACCTGGTTTGACTAAATTAACAAAATTATTTTATTAAAAATAATTTAAAATTGCTTATACTTCACTTATTCTCTCTCATCCCTCTCCCTTAATCTCTCTCTGTTGATTTGGAATTGATTAAAGAATGGGGTCTGGGATATTCTCGAGCATCAACGTAAGTGTTAGATCTATGGTTTTCCTCAAAATTATGGTTGCAAGTTTTGCCTTTTTCGATTTCGGCTTTTGTTTTGTGATTTTGGATTTCGTTGAGAACTTTGGCGTTTGTGGATTTTGCTGTCTCTGTATATCCGGGGAGAGGATGCCCAGATTGGCCTTTCAAGAAGCAGAAGGAAGAAGGCTGTTTCATGATGCCAATGGGTTTGGTGGCCACCTTTTGCGACTGCAGTGATCTCTCTCTGTTGATTTGGAATTGATTAAAGAATGGGGTCTGGGATATTCTCGAGCATCAACGTAAGTGTTAGATCTATGGTTTTCCTCAAAATTATGGTTGCAAGTTTTGCCTTTTTCGATTTCGGCTTTTGTTTTGTGATTTTGGATTTCGTTGAGAACTTTGGCGTTTGTGGATTTTGCTGTCTCTGTATATCCGGGGAGAGGATGCCCAGATTGGCCTTTCAAGAAGCAGAAGGAAGAAGGCTGTTTCATGATGCCAATGGGTTTGGTGGCCACCTTTTGCGACTGCAGTGATGGTAGAGGTTGAAGTTCCGCGCCAGCTGTGGGAGCGGAGGCCGGGTTGTGTCGGCGAGTTTCACCAATGGGTCGGTGAGTTCCGGCGACATAATTGGATTTTGGCTTGAAATATTTTCAATTCTAAGATACACAAGGGCATTTAATTATTTTCTCCACAAAATTAATTTTATTTGAAATGATCCTGAAAAGTAATTAACCATTTTTTTGGGTTTGACGGTGGATTGATGTGCCTCAAGTCTATCTTGAGCACTTTTTCTGGGTTTGTCCACATAGGGAAGAAGAAGACCTATAGGGAAGAAGAAAACCTTGCTTTTTATTATTTATTTATTTTTTCTCCTATCTCATATTTAAAAAATAGCGAGTTGATTTATGCGGGGGATATTTTAGTAACTTTTCAATAAAAGTAACATGTATGAAGGTCTCTGAATAAAACCATTTAAAATTTGACGGAGTTAGATGAAAATGATTTAATTGTACTAATTTAATGACATTGAGTATCACTATATCAAAATTTAAAAAATAAAAACTAAATTGTTACAGGTTTGTTTAATTTGTTAATTTAAATTTTTAATTTGAATTGAGATATAATGTTATGTGAGAATTTTTTACTGTTATAAAAAAGTTAAATGTGACTGTTTCTAAGAGCTTTTTACTGTAGTAAAACGCCTCATTCACTTCGCTGATTCGAGTTTAGAATTCAAGTTGAGATGTGATTTTATGTGAGAGCTTTTTACTGTAGTAAAAAAGTTAGATGTGATTGTTTGTGAGAACTTTTTACTGTAAAAAAATTTAAATTTTAAAATCGAATCGACGAAGTAAACGAGACCTTAAATTTTAAATTCGAATTAGTGAAAAGAACGGAACCTAAAGAAGTTAAGGACCGTCCCTGCTAATTATTCAAAAATAAAAACAAAGGTTAAAATTGCAAAAAAAAAAAAAAAAAAAAAAAAGGGAAAAAAGTACAGGCATGTAATTACCAAT